AGTCTGCATGAGTTGCAGATAAATCTGCCAAGCTACCAACACACAAACCGTCTCACTTCATTATTGGCTGAAACGAGTCATATATAACATTTCTTACGCTTATAACTTCGCGAACGAAATTCCAACATAGCGTTTGGAATTTTTTCATGTGTAGTCAACATAGATCAGATTCATCGATTACATTGCGGGACGATAGAATTTATCGTTTAGAAACTGTTATCGTTTAAATTATGCTTCTGGAAAAAAATAAGGTTGAAAATCGTTCTATAATAGAAGTTCAGGAAGCCATTCACACTCGTTGATGTTGGGGACATGTTCAAAGAATTCTAACGAAATAAAATAAGAAGCTCATAACCTATAGGCAACATCAATATTATAAACCAAGCTTACAGATAAACAATGCACAATCGTATAAAAATTTAATATTGCTGCGAATTGCGGATCATAAGGCTTGTATCAGGTCTGTCAAGATCCTGACCACTAATTAAAAATGTAACGAAAATGTAAAAATTTATGAAAATTTGCAATTTTTATAAATTGCGATTGCGATTTTATATTGCAAGCATAGAACATATCAGTAAAGTAAAGCACAATTGTAATGTTCAATGCGCGAGAAGCTACAGCATAGCGGCTAAATAATGGTGAACGGCGTCGAATGCTTTATATACTAATTTAATACTTCGTTGATAATAAATATTTATTATTAACTCTTATATTTATTATCAATGCTTAATAAATAATGCGTGCGCAGCGTTGATCGTAGTTGCACTGCAGATCACTGCATATCTAGCATTGCTCGTCGCAATTTTACAGCATAGCCCTGCAGGAATCCCGCAGATATTTCGTAGCGCAGAGTCTGCGGCCAGTGCATAGTAGCGGCCAGAGCGCCGTTTGAATATTCATCCGAGTGACCAGCCGCAGATGAAGCTATTGCGCTGCCGCAGCTCCATCATGAAGATATAGTTTGTATTGAAGCTTGCTTGCCTCATAGCCCTCATACCGAATCGATGCATCAGTAATGTTCATTACTGCGTTTTGAAATTAACTACGCGAGACTTATTAATTAATACGAAAGAATCCTGGTGACTGGAAAATTTTGCGGTTTCCGTGACTGAGCAGATGCAGCTTTAGGGTCGGACACAGGCAAACGCACGCATGAGCTACCGTCCATGTTTTATTCCGAAATAAAAGAGCGGATCATATTGGGCTCCGTCGGTAGCATCAGGTACGACGGGGCGGAGGGGTGGGAGGACGGCATGTCCGCACCCCAATGTGAGGGGGAGGGGAGGGGAGGCTAAGTTAACGCTGGTCTACTGACTACTTAAATGCGATCAGCTTCTTTCATGATATTTTCATTGATGCCCTGTCGGTCTGGTCAGGAGAAAAACATTTTAAAAATTATACGATCACGCACTTCAAATTGATCGAAAATTTTGCGGAAACAGCAAAAAATAGTCGTTTATAGAGAAGGATCTCTGATGTTGCAATCATTTTTCGATATTTGGTACCATATACTTAGCCACCAATATGACGATTTCGTGGATTATTCACTGACCGTACGTTAGTTCGATATTTTTCCCCAAATCGATAATTTATGGAACCTCGTAAGTTTTTTTGGCGAATGGTTTTGAAATTTCGTAATTATTTGTATAGCTCCCTCTATCCAATTTCGTTTGCGTGAGTCTGTACTGTACTGTAGAAATCTCCCGCAAGACTCATAGAAGCAATTGGCCTTCTTCAACGCTCGCGCAATAGCGAGCAAAGCGTGTTTCTAAGTCAATCATGGGTCGTCATTTACTGTTGAGTAAAGACGGCAGCGGTCAACACGAGTTGAAAGTTCACTAAGGTAATCACAAATGCGCGGGGTGACCGCTGTCTGTGAGGCTGATGCGGTCACGGAGACCGCAGCTCCGGTCAGCGATGGTTAGGCAAAGAGGAGGTCGTTCAGCAGCCTTGGTAAAACCAGGAAAATTTAAAAATTCGGAATGATGTTAACCCAAGCCGATACTATTTTTTGTTTGAGACGTGTGCTAGTGCAACTAAGAGGTTTTCATTGTATTTTAATAACTCAAGTACCTCGACCATCAGTTCAGTTGTGGCCGTATTAAGGTGCCTTGTCATCCATAACAATAACTGAACTAAATTCCTCCTAGATTCAAGGGCAGTTGACAAAAAGCAATAGATTTCTGTGCTGCTCAACGGTGGCCACTATTGCCGCCAAACATTAGCACGACTACATTGCCGCAGTGAAGTAACTGGTTTACCATAACTCAACTGGTTCTAAAATTACGTGTTTGTCTATTCGTTGGCCTGTTATTAGCGAGTTCTGAAACTGCATCTGTGGAACAAAACACAGAAATAAGTATTTACGAGTAAATTAGAAGTCATATGTCAATGAAAAAATTACGAAATTGTAAGCTTAGATCATTGAATGATCTATAAATAAACCGATATACAGCCCACATTAAATGTTTATTATCCCGCTTTTTGCTTTGCCATTGCCGTTTTTCGAAAGCAGAGCATCTATTTCAAATTGATATCGCATTTTTTTAGCTAAACACGACTCATGGACATTGACTGTACGTTCAACTTAAACGAATTCAAGCAGCAGTTCGATCCAGCCAATGTGATGGCAGCAGGTAAGCTGCCTACGTGGCTCTAGCGCAAGTTGGCTGTTGTATGAATGACACATTCCGCTGTGCTGGCGAACGGTGCTGTTGTTCTGTTTCTGAGCACGAATGTGCAAATTAACACAACCGTGTCTAATGAAGCTGAAAGGAAACCAATTAAGATGGGACGACACCTATGGTGGAGAAAACTAGTGAGCTTATGGTAGGTACTTCTATCTTGTTGAGGTGGTCGTAAGTTCCAGGATGATGTTATATAACACCTGGTATTGGGTCTACGATCTCAAATTTAATTTATAAACTTGCTAGTGAGTGAATCATGGATTTAGTATAGCACATAGCAAAAATTAATCACCGTTGATTTTCAGGAAAATATTCAATCACAATTAGACAAATATCGTTGATACGCGAGTATCTTGAACTTGGCAGTCACCGTAAATTGAGTGTGATAAAATTTTAAACATTTGTGAGCGAAACGCAACGCAAATTATGCAACAGGCTTTAGATAAATATTTTTTTAACTGACGGCAATGATTGGATTGCCGGATATATTCATTTTACTTTTCTTTTCAACTCTCGACACCGGGTGAACGATGATGCACTAAAAGTATTAACCATGGCATATTTTCAAAACCAATTTCGATTTATAATCAGGTAAATTCTGTCATGTCAACGCAGGAAATGAATTTTGAATAAAAGATCGCTACTTTTCTCAAAGCAATCGATATAATTTTTGTTAGCTAATAATTTACATTGAATCCTTCCTGTGGAAATATCAGCCTCAAATCTTCAGAGTACTAAGAATGCTCAGCTAAACGAGTGATGAGAAAATTTCTAAAACATTGGAATTAATTTAATCAGGGGAGTAATTCTCTGTGGTATTTGAGTCACAGGAAAATGAAGCTCTTTATTTTTTCTTTGCTCAGTGTCAACATTAATTTCATAAACCGATGAGTTGTGGTGAAACAGAACATTTTTTTCAGCAACAGAGCGGTGCCAGTTGAAGCACCATCTGCCGCTGGCTCACATGCACGAACGGTCGTTAAAAAATTTCGGAATAAACAAACTCAAGCATAGGTTACTTTTGGAGTGTACAGTTTCATGAAATAGAGGTCACTGCAGGCACAGTCAATTCTGTCATATCAAAAAAGATAAATGGTAACACAATTGTTATAAGCAATAAATAAGCGAATGTTATGACACAATAAGGGAGAGTGGTCACTGAATTCAATTGTCTTTTAAATAGAAGTTTTAGTAATTTTCGATTATCAAGAGTGTTAAACTTCGCCATTTGTGTTCTCATTCTGAAGGTAATTTTTCGTGCACATTTAAAAAAACGACCAGGGCGCAAATTCCCACCCGCCAATGTTAACCTGACAATAACGAGGGTGGCGTTCTACTAACCAATAATTCATGGTTAATAAGTAATTTATATTATTGTCCGTTTCCGCGTAATTAATGGAAAATAAAATATAATGACGGCAACCTAAATATTGTTATGTTAATGTGGAATAATATTGCGGATAAAACCATTGACCATAAAGGCGAGGTAGAGGGAGTGGAGTTGGGCCTGGGTGGCTTGATTCTTTTTGAATTTACACGCAAAATTGCTGCCACAAACGCAAGCTAAATTGTCTAAGCCAAGCTGCCTGGATAATCGATATATTACAACTTTTCAGCAACCGGCCAATGCTGATCTTAGCCAGTGAGGATTATGAGCAACAAAATTCTACACTGGTATTTTGAATCCCGTATTCGTTTCACAAATATTCATCTGATAATTATATCCAGCACGGTCCAGCAGGATTGATACTCGGAATAAGAAAACTGGTCCAGCAGAACTTAAACTCGAAGATAAACTCCAGACTCGCGTTTAACCAAAATATTTTTGAGTTACAAAGATTGTAATGCCAAATCCTAGCATTTTCCACCGAACTTTTCTGATTGTGTCTAACATTACTCGAGAAATCTCCATTGAATTATATTGCATCAACTTAACATGTTCACTGGATTTTTCAGAAAAAAATATAATCGTTCCGATCAACTCATACCTCACTCCATCTTGCACGTCATTGCATGGATTGAGCAATGAATTTGTGTATGCGTTAATTATTACTACTATATACATGTAATAGTCATTAATATATTACACGTAATGGTAATACAAATTGATCATTTTAGAATTTAGATGCAAAATTTCTTCGTTCATCCATTAAAGTTTGTTGATAGTCGGACTAGAACGAGTCTCCTGCGTTCATCCTCGTTAAATTATAGCAAACACTCTAAATAAAATGCATGAGAGTGTACCATCTTAGATTATATTGAGCAGGATAACCATCTAAAGAACCATGTGCTGTAATAACAACCACTCACCAAGGCCGGCGAGTGTGACAGTGAGGGCGATGATGAGGCTGTACATGGCGCTGTGGCTGACTGACGTACGATGTTACTAATTGAAGAAAACGTTCATTCGTTGGCCTCTCTAGAGGTTCGTTTCAGTTCATTCAATAATTTTAAAAATATATATTTGGAAATATAGAAAATGTGTGTCAGATAAAAAAAGAGATGCTAATAAATCGGTTATAAGTCGTATGAAGGAAGTTTGTACATATTATATTAGTACTCGTTTTGGATTGTATTGGCTGCAACACCTGAGGGAGATGAAAATGTGATTAAAACGGATAGCAATAATCTTTACGAATCATATCCGAAATTTTCCTTAAAAAACAGTAGTATAAATTCCTCGACCGTACATTTAATTTAGAAATGTTCAGTTGATATTCACGTTAGAAATGACTAACTCGAAAATACATTAAACTTTCAGTTCTAAAATCAAATTTCAGTTAGGTATTATTACTAAATGAAAGGTGCGGTAAAATTTACGGTACCAATTTGCTCTTCATCAAACTTTAAAATAATTTGAATTGCGGGCGCTTGAATACTTTTGGACATTCGTCGATATAAATACATCAACCTGCCAGCATAGGCAATTTGTTCTTTCAAATTACATAAAGCGCGCATTTATTTCTCTATTATGATCGCTCGCAAATTGTGGCTCATAGAACAGGTTGTGGAAGTATCATTTGAAACGCCGACTTTTGCTCTTAAATTATACGCATTTCGTAAAAATATGAGAAGCTATCAATTCAGCAAGTTTTGTTTTTATCTCCATCGGAAGAATGTCATTCATGCATGACTCAAAAAAAGCGAGTCAAATAGATAAACAAAGTAAGAACGAGCTACCGATAATAGCAGGAAATTTTCAATTTTTTAATATAACATTTTATATTTGGAGATTGAAGGTCGCAAAAAAGCGTATTAATGGAAATTAATAATACACAGAAATAAACATATACTTATTGACATAATTCGGCCGACGTTCTTTACGCACGTTCGCTTAAAGACCAGGGAATGACTTTTATTTAAAAAAATTATGTGTTTTTACTGTGGGTCGAATGAAATTTCTTACTGTCATCAGCAGATCAAAATAAACAATATATATTGCCAAGTAATTAAAGGTTTTCGAACACTTGGTTTTTAAGTTTTCAAACGCCAGCAAGAAAATTCGTTTGACTCATAGAAAAATTATTGATACGAAGCTGTCTCTGGTCTCTCAGCAAGCTTGCGTAAATAAATAAATACGCATGTATACTAATCGATACAATTTATTTTGAAATGTAGGTATAAAAGTTAAATATGGGATTGAACTAATAGAAGCTAATTTATTTATTCCTTGTCGTATTATTTTCACTTTATTTTTATTAAATACCCATATTCATTCATATACTCATAATCAACCACTATCCGACATCGCCATAGAAGATTTGATTGTTAGCGTCATCCTTCCGGTGATTTAGTAAGCGGCCTCCGACTTTTAGAAATACAAACGGCGACATTTGATTGATCACCGGTCAATCGCCGTCCAATAGCAAGCGAGCTCGTAGTTACCATTGGTAACGGCAAATGACTGCTCCGGTATTGTCGCAGACTGAAAATTCTTGAAACCAAAGCGGAATGCAAGTTTGACCTATTTTGGGAAAGTATTAAAAATTATGGTATTCAAGATGGTGAGGTTAATACACGAAAAATAATCAAATTAAAATTTATATCAAACACGTCAGCACGAAAGATTACAAACCAAACACAAATGAGCTGGTTAGAGGCCTAGACAGCCTAGTGAGCTTTATAACCCATGGAAAGTCAGAGAAAGTGCGCGATTATTGCAAATGAAACTGAAAGCGATCATAGCTGGGCAAAATAAGAAGCGCTAGATATCGCAGAAACGGCCGTAATGAAAGCGTCCTTCTCGCCGCTCCAGCGCGGCAAACTAAACAGGCTCTAGTAGCGGGAGTGCTGTTGAAACTCGATTAATGAAAGCAATGGACTGCCAATGGCAGAAATATAACTTGGAAAATAAACACTGAACGAAATTTCAGAGAAAATTAACACAAAACTGAGTTATAATCAAAACTAAGAAACAGAATTTGAGTCGGTGCTTGAAATAGAGTTCAATTCTGCGCAGAGAGTTAGCGGCCCTGAGCACCGCATGCCAGAGCTGCGGTGCTCATTATTCAGCCAGCGCTGCACACAACCTTAACGTAAGGCGTCCAGCCGAACACTAAAGTCACAGCCGTGAGGCGCGGCGCGGCCAAGGCAATCGCTCCTGATTGCTGCCCGGCGCGCGCCGACCGTACCTGCGCCCAGTCGGCAAATCCCACATTCTCAAACATTTATCCTTGCGGTCTCATTTTTAAAATGGTCGCAGTCAGGATGTGCAAAACTTTTATAATATATTTTTATGAGCAGAAAATAATAAAATTTGGCGTACAGTAAGAAAATTGTTTACAATATAGCGGTATGTTTGTAACTTTGCAATTTCCTTTATTTCAGACGCCAGGTGCAGCAAAAATAACAGATCGAACTCTGGCAGTTCCGGTGGATATGAGGTTGCGACCACTGCTGACGCAGCCCTTTGTTATTTACATTTCTCCATGTCAACGAAAATCGCCTAGCTATTATGAGGCGATAATCACAACCGGTGATTTGTAATCTGAGTGAATCTTTATGTTTATCTATTCTGATCTTTTTATACCCACATGTGGTTGTAAATATTTTGTAATTATGATCAAGGATTGAAATAATAATAAATAATATAGGTCAGATAGATCATCAGTATTATCGGTAAACATGAGTTAAAGGAACATCTGCTGAATGCTTGATTAATTAAGTCAAGAACGACCTCGGCAACGGTTGCAAGTGCGCTGCCGAACAGACAGACCTAAGATGTACTTGAATTAGGTCACTCTTGTCTCCGCTGTATGCTCAGTATGCTGGTACCTGTCCATCTATCATCAAGTGTTTCTTTTAGATGAATTTTGATGATGAGTTTTCTCTCGAGGCAAACAGAAATCGGTAAATAATGAATAAAATAATAGTGACGAATGAATAATAATGAACATACACTATATTACACTATATTCTGGAGAGTGCACTTAATTCCAATTCCTGAATGCTGCCTCTCTGAACTATCACAGTGGCAATCAATTTTTAGGTATTGTACCCTCTTAATGAGTGAGATAATGAAATTATTCTCTTTAAGGTAACAATTTGACCTAAAATACCTCGAGATCGTATCAAGTATACTCGTGGAAAAAATTTTCCTTAGCATTTACTCATGGAAAATACCATATGCAAATAATAAGATAACTAAGTTCACGTTAAACCTTAAGGTTTATGCAGTAAATTCATTGCAGCTCAAGTAATGCAAAGCCGACTCAGTACCTTGATTTCCTGCAACGCCTGTATTACATGCACAGAGTGCGTGACACGCTGAAGTGTCACGTGCACAATCCTATTCTATGAAAATCGAGTGACAAAATAGTTAATGAGATATTCGTTCTCCTCACGAAATTTCGATTAAGGTCCACTACGCTAAGCCGCGCCCATTACGACATTTCCGATACGCAAACGTGAGATTAACTCCAACAGTCGTAACAAAGAAAGGAGTGCGAGCTCCAAGTCTCCGACCGAGGCAGAAATTCAGCCTGCAACTTTTCCAGAGGATTTGGAGCTGAAGCAACGATATTATAAAATATAATTTGCATGCTCAATGCGTTCAGCATATGATAGATGAAAACTCAAATTGCTTTAAATATCAGTACCATTTCAAACAAGCGTTGAATCTGTAATGGTGTAAATAATTTGCTGTACCAGCCGAGTGTGCAGTGTAGACGTGTCTCAAATGAGGTCAGAAGTTGAGGCCATACAAAAGTTTACCATACGTGAGGAACAAACGATTTTATATTTTCTTGTAATTATAAAAAAAGCATACGTGCTGATTTGAACATATCAGAGATCAGTTTTGCGGTAACGCCTACAGGGTGTCGATGTAATCCAGTAACGTATCAGAACGGTCGTTATAGCATTAGGCGAAGGTATTCAAACATCTTCCTTAAGCGAAAAAATATAACTCAGTACTCACTGCAGTGAGTGACAGAGAGCGCATTTTTTCGTCGACGAAAACATGAAGTCACGGACGAACAGACAGACGGACGGACAGACGGACATGGCGAGCACAATGGAGCATTTTTTTCATAAATGAGAAAATGCGCTAAAAATGAAACTCTTATTCTTTCTTCTTCATACAATTATGACGGCCGGCCAAATGATCAATGAACGATTCATATTTCTTCCACGTCCTTCCGAATATCATGTGTTGAAAACAAATTTCAATCTGTTCATAGAGATACATATTCTACAAGAATTTTGCTCTCTTTCTTTGTGGCTAAGCGAAAATCCTGGCTTTCCACTAATTTGTTTTCTCTAATGCTCGTGATATGTAAGACAAATCTTTGACAAGAATATTTCACGATTTAAACTCGACTTTATCAGCTCAAATCGATGAGGAGTCAGAACAGCTGTTCAATCCCTGCCATCCATATTCGTCCAAAAATTAATAATAAACGCGTACATTGAGAAATAAGAATAAAAACTCAATATTCCCTTACTTAATGCAAAAGATTGAATAGATTAAAGAAATTTAATTTCCACCAAGAATAGAATTCAGAACAATACCGCACGATAACATCTTTTGCAACAGAGCGCCACCACTCACCATATCAGGAATCTGAGCGCTGAAGGCTGCGACCGCAGCGCTTGCGGCAACGCTGTAGCCACGCCTGCGGCGTAATCATCTCGTGGCGTAGATTTTTGTCAGTTCAGCACTAGCTTGTGCAGCAGCACAATCACTAAGGTTATCACCACTAAGTTTGAAGACGTAATTTACAGCCTTTATTCCAGCGTATTTCATATCGACCATGTATGCTTGTGTGACTGAATTTTGCATGCGGCAGGGTAACTCGGGTCCTGCCAACTCGAAGATTTGGGGGCCGATTGGAATAACTCACCTGTTGGCCACAGCGATATGCCACATGTTACATGAATATTACCTGCAAATAGTGTTACAAGGACTCGAGAGAAAGTAGCAAAAGCCCTTGCAAGTATAAGTTTATTATTCGCAAAATATTTTTTATAAAATGCAAACAATAACCTGGGAACAAAGGTACAAAATATCACTCATGCTCGCGTAAGATAAGTGTCAAAACTCCTATTATAGAATAGAAGTGTCGGCGTTGAAGAAATAGGCCCATGGCCTATTTCGTAGGTGTGAGAAATTCATGCACAGTGTAATAAAAAAATGACAAGTGTCTGCAGAAATAAACTTTATGCTACTGCTGCATCAAAAAATTAATTAGATGAATAGAACGATTCCATTAAAAAATATTCGGGATTCTAAAATCACGTTTCGCACTTGACTGATACGGTGCTTAAATGAGATAATGAAGACTGAGGGAATGAACAAAAATGTGCAAAATACGATGCATTAGATGACAATAATCACCCCAAATGTGAAAAAAGACCATAAAAACAAACCCCCTTAAAACATTGGGAACAACGCACTGGCCCCAGTTAAAAAATGAACCTCAGTTCGAAAATCGTCACTAATTAACTTCTCACGCTCAATGATTGGCTTTAATGTGCAAAACGGCTGTAAAATAACGGTAGAAAGAGGGCCTTCGAGCCTGCATGCATCACGCACGAGAACATTTCACGCGTCAAATCAAAGAATTAAATAATTGATTGTAAAGAAGTGGGAATGCTCAGTGGGGAATGTGCACAAACAGGTCACAAAGTGGTTAGGAATTCCCACTAAGACATAGATTGACAAACTACCTATAGAAGCCTAACGCATAACAAACATTGCGAAGAGACGACTTTGAAATTTGTGAATGAATTAGGGGAAACGTCGATGTAGTCAGAGGATAAGTGTTGTCCAAGTGAAGAGAACGGCAAGGACAATATGCCAAATGCTCGTGAGATGAAATACCATGGTTTCAATCATATTATTATACGCAGCCCAAAATGACCGCCAGACAGAATGAACAATTGTAATCTACCTTCATGATACGAGTACTCTATTTCAGGTTCATCACTTATAGAATCTACTATTGGCGATCAACTTTTAGCATGTAAATTCCCTCGTCGCATCGCCGCATCACGAAATTCATCTTAGTACTGAGATTTCAATGCAAGCTAATGCCCCTGCGTCACGAAGTAAGAACAGCAAAGAGCTATTCATCACCTCAACGTTACTATGGAAGAACTCATAGCAAAACGGTCAACATTTAACAGTAATGGTATGGTATCAAACCGTTTAGATGTTAATTTCTTAATAAGGAAACAAAAAGTTTAGAAATACATACTTATGGTATAACATGCACGAGTTAATAGCTAGCACAACGTGACATTCGAGTAGCATAAGTAGGATTACATAGCATGATGTCATGTTTAAGATAAGGATAGAAATAAATTTAACTGACTGCCAATACCACGGACTAGAGTTATAGCTGTCGATAGAAACTATCAAATGCTAATCAAAAATATTGTGTTATTAAGGTAACATCACAAGTTCAAAGCAGCTCGAATAAATTAAATTTTGGGCAGCGTAATATTTCTTATGCTGGAAGTCCGATGCCCTGAATAATATATGAATCAGCATCTATTTGATTATTTTGAGTTCGAGTACCACACTCTGAAAATTACGAAAAGAAGAATATCTGCCTTGCATTAAATACCAAGCACAAATTTATTTATTGCCTGATGAAATGTATCCCTTCTTGTATAATATGACGACCTCATTGCAAACAAATGAGAGTCCATATCAAACACCAATTTGTTAACAGTAAATGAATACGCGGGTTATAACTATTAACAGATTTTGTAGAGTAGGTAGCAAATACAAATCAGAAAATTTTCTAGTGCCTAAAATATCACAGGCACGTCAAAATGACTTGAAGCTTATATTTCGTTAAGGTAATATACAACTACTTGCAAGTCAAGTCATCCGGTGACACTTAGAGAATTACAGAAAAATATTAATGAAATGGAAGAACAGAGTAACACATAAATGCCAGAATTACGACATGAACGGGGAGCGTTGCACAAAATATTTGCATAAATGCACACTATTTAGATTGATGGTGTAATTTTTCAGAAAGAGCTTCTTGCTGACGACCACAGCAAAAAAAAAACAGATTCTAGGTGTCGAGAAGTTGCACAAGGTCAAGAGATACAAACTTGATCCCATCAAGTTAAAAATGTCGAGAAATTCAGTTTTAATTTATAAAATAAACTTGACATCAAACAAATTTCGAATCATCCGACCAATAATTACCAATAAAGTCACTTGGGTTCCGCCACCTGATCTGAACGGAGCGTTACTCGACAAATTTAAATTTAGGCACACGTGATACGCAAATACGAAATTGTAATCAAAATACCGAAACTTTTTTTGTCCAAATACCCTCAAGTGTTAGAGTTAGTCAGATTGTAAATTTGCATAGTGGTCAAAATCCTAATAATAACAAATATTTGCAGACCAGTGGACATCAAACACATTCCTCAAAAACCAAGTAACTGTGAAAATACAATTCATAATTTTAACATTATTTCAGATAATAGTTGCACTGTTCCATTTAGCGTGCCTGAAGGGTGTACATGGTATGCAATATTGCCTTCATATCTAAAGATTCAACTCAAGATTTCCAAGTGAATCTGTAAATGTTACTCCACTTGTTATCGATAAAAAAATAGGGGTAATGGAAAACTAAGGACTTGAAGGTCATTAGACAGTAGAGGAAATCTCCTGAGTATCTAAAATTTACCAGACTAGTTTTCACAACATGTACAGCCAATTGAAAGTTTCAGCGCTGTTGAATATCACAATAGACACTGTTGAATATCACAAGCACAATGTTGACGTCAAAAAAATCAAGATTGATTGATTTCCAATCCTTTGTCCTTCATTCCGCCCGGTTGATTAACCACTTAGTTAAAAATAAGTGCAAAAAAGCAACAAGCTGAGTGAAACGAGGCTGCCACCTAGGGCGTTTTCCCTGCATCATTTTGGACATAGGTTACATGTAAGCAGCAATTGCCAATAAACTAACTGCACTAGATGACAGAACACAAATTTTCACGAGACATTAATCATTTTTATTGGTTTTGTTCAGTCTAGCTGTGCTGGTAGGTGGGGCATAATAAATTGCAGCAGCGATGATGCACGAGTTCAGCAGCAGTGAGATGCCAAAGTTGGATAGCAATGCTGCATCAGCGGTCTCGATGTATACCGTCAGGAGACGAGCTGCAATTCGATAACAACAGTAGTAGTTATACAGAGTTCTGATGCTGTCCAACCTAAATACCACAAGCCTGCCATATCTCAAGTAAACAATTAATTATCGAGACGAATTATGCTGCAACATACACATTACACATTCACATTCTATTATAATGCATTATTTAAGCTGAAAGGTGAAAAAGATTTAGAAAATAACACCCTGAGAAAAACATAAATGTAAATAGTACCAGTATATCATGTAAAAATTAGTAGAGCTAACGGATATAGGTACAAACAGCCTGACAAGTCATCTCGGCAATAATGAAAAAATTTCAATTGATTCAAATGGTCAGCAGATTGTGCTTACCATATACCAGAGCTCTAAAACAAGTTCTTAATTAAGATGAAAGGTTCAAAATTATATGAGCAAAGAAATTTGATCTAGCCTTACAACTTAACCTAAGACATTTATTCGAATTCAACATGACAAAAATTTAACTCTGTCATAATTAACTGAATGTAAACAGTACACAAATCATGAACTCACTACAGCAGCAGTAAGCCGAGATCATCCATGCAGCAACAGACACTCCCTCAGATGATTTTCTCCGGGTTATGGCGAGTAGCTGCACAATTTTACTCACTGCACTGATGGGAGTTGTGCTGCTCTGTTCATGTGAATAACAATTCAGTAAATATTTCAACTCGATTCCCAAGATAATAATTAGGAGAAGGAATATTTTAATGAATTACGGTACATTACAAAGTACATATTACAAATTTCATGTACACAATTAGCACATAAATAGCTATTGCTGAGTAATGTGTCAATTATACTGAAGTATAAATAGGATTAGATTGTTCCTGCTTCAATTCCAGCTGATATTTAGATGGCACTTTTTCTGCCTTGCAAGTATATTTTAAAAATAATTAAAGGCAAATTATTGAAACACAACTTGAATGATATTAAACTAACCTTCAGGCATAAGGTCATAGTTTAAAAGTTCACAGTGACATAGTAACACAAGTAGAAGAATAACTTACAACAAGTAATGCCATGACAGGGTCGGCCAGGAATCCACCAATCATAGAAGTCATGAGGCAAACAAGAAGTCCAGCATATCCTAACACTAGCACACTTCCAACTTGTGTACCAAAATACAAAGCTGCAGCTACCAAACAAACATCCTGTGTCACCAGAAACGGGTACTCAAGGAAGCTTGGCAATGCATACTGATAAGAGATGAAGTAGCTCATGGTGATGCAGTATCTGCACAAATAATAGTTGCATCAATATCAACCTATTTCAATCAAAACAACAGCAATAAGCTTGGTGTGCATGTACACATTTTAGGACAGTCAAATTCTTACTTATGTCACTACCTACTATATTCAGCAATGCTATGAACAATCTAAACATAAATCAAAATTATCTACTACCTAAAATTAATTTTCAAGCTCTTTGTTAACTGAATGATACAAAGCAATTTTAAAGTAAAAATAATAAGAACTCACTTAGCTCACTAATATAAAAGTTATAATAGAAATAAAGGAATGCATAGTAATGAGTACCAACATAGTATACATGTATACATATATATTCCAACATTTTGCTATTCAGGAATTTCTTCAATGGCATTTAACTACAATCTTTTTTAAAGGTCTTCAATAATTATTCATTAAACTTCTGATCCAGATATGCTCTAGTAAGTCTAGTTCCCCTACAATACGTTTCAAGTCAGATTACGAAAAAAAAGTTTGATTCAAATTGGTTTCAAATAACTGTAAAACACTTTACATGAAAAAAAAATATAATATAAAAACTCAAAGAAGTGACCTAAAAAGCTAAGTCAACTGGCACTGACCCTGTGAGTTCAATTAAAACACTGTAGATGCTCAGTCCAATAGCAGAACGGGCCTTCAGAACAGTGGAAATTTGAGGAACCTGCAAAAAAACATTAAAATGAGTAGGTACACTATTCAAAAATCAATAATTAGAATTGTACACAATTAATCAGAAAATATGCTTCCTGAGTAGTATAAGAAACAAAAAATTTTTAAGTAAAAAAAGTTTTGTGCATGAAAGGCTACGGTCTGAGTGAAAGAACAGTAACATACCTAATAACATTAAGGCAACTAGGCTATGAGACCATTAGTAAAAACTTTTTATGATCAAAAGTTTTTTGAGAGAGAATGGAACTAAAATGCAATTTGCAAATACTTCCACATTTGTAAAAGATGAAAATACATATTTGTAAGTTGAAAGTAAGTAATGCAATTTTTGATTGAACAAAAATACAAGACTATGAGGCCAGGAAATTTTAAATTCAATAACAAAAGGTATGACTTCAAACCATTCTAGAAAATTGGGCAAAAACAACCTATGAAAACTGAAAACTTCAATATAGCCTAGGTAACTAATGAAAACAATTGGAAAGTGGAAACAAAGTGCAAATGAATCATAAAATACCTAATAAAAATCCGAGAGTTATACACTCTACAGTAAAGTTTTAGCTACTCATTCTCAGTATTCATCGAAAAAAAGTTGATTTCAGTAAAATAATATTTGAATTTATTATTCAGTTGACGTTGAGTGAGTTGACCGAGTCTGGCGAGTCATGAGACTGAGATAATACGAGACTTGCCTTATTGAAGGAACTGAGAAGAATTGTAGATATATTGGCAATAGAAATGAGAGGCTCGATCACAAGAGACATGATTGAAGCAATTTTATTTTCAATGTAAAAAAAATCTCAGCTTAGCTGAAAATGTATGAGAACCAAATAAATTATCTTCGAAATAACTATCAAGTGCAGTGAATTTGGGTCAAGTGGTGTCGCTTCGTCGCTTCTTTTTTCTTTAGTCTCATCCGCCGTCCGCCGAAAGCAAGAAACCACCTGTCATTTCGAATAAACCGGAACGTCCTATCAAACGCCACGATTTAACCTTGAACCCAAATTTCTTGCTTGTGAAAAACATGGTTGAAGTAGTATAAGGTTGACCTATGAAAAGCTCATTTTTGCGGATGTTGTTCGTTGTTCACCTGTGACGTTACTGATCCAGTGACGTCACTAGCATTATCCATTCCCCGAAATGCGATCAAACCAGCCAACCAATCCCATGGTTGATTTAGTTTGAATTCAACCATAAACCAATCCGTCATGGGAATGGCGGGATTTTTTACGTTTCTCGATCTCGTTGACGTAACAAGAAAGCTGAACTGAAAGACGGAAATCCTCGTGGGTCATATATAGTTCAACCATGAGTCTAAACTCTGAAGCACCACATGGCAACCTAAATAATATTTTTATAGTGTTTGTAGAAAGTCTTTCTACAAAATTTACCTAACAATAACTAAGTTGGTGTTGTAAAAGCTTGTCCAGTTACTGAGTTGCATTTTCAAGGCCAGCATTGTCCAATATCATCTCACTTTCATATTCTTCTAGTGCACAAGCATATACTAATGAGTATATTAGCATTTGAACTTAACCTGGGGCCAGAGACGCCGAAAGCCAGCAGACACTGCTCCAGCCAGTATATTCTTCACTATATCTACACCTTAGCATGCGGTTTCCTCCATACTTGCCCCGACTCTCCACCCAAACAAACCTTACCGGACCTAACCTCATTGACTGTAGCAAGGTGGAGAAGCGGGGCAAGTAGGGGACTGGAGCCCATCATTGGCTGCAGCAGGGTGGGGAGGCGGGTTAAGAGTGAAGGTGGGATCATTCTGGGTGTAGATACTGTGAATACTGTCTGGAGCGGTGGATGCAGGCACACAGCGCTTTTGGCTGCACGCAGTCGCGAAACTGTAACTTACTGTGATTCTAGCGTGGTCTGCGACTTCGTAGCTCTGAGGCAAAAATTAACCGAGAATTTTTGCACAGAGCGCTTACTAAAAGGCTTGTTTAAGGGGACCTGCTACCCTAAATCGAGGTAGCCTATAACTCCTACAGTTATTATCCGATCATCATGAAACTTCACATACATACGTAAAATGTAAAAATAATAACATTTTACTTCTATAAATTTTTCGAAAAAATTGATAGAAAACGTGATATTCATAGAAATGGACAAATAACGGGTACTATAGAAAATCTATCTCCCCCCACAAATATCATCCGACAATATCGAGACACATATCATTAGATTCGTAAAGACCATACCTATCAACTAACCCATCACTTTTTTCATTTTCCCCATAGTTTTTTCTATGCGCGTTTTTCTCATTTTTTCACTTTTTTACCCCCTCCCCCCCTTCTCCCCCATATATAGGACGAACCATGCACAAATTCAAAAAAAGCGATGGATAGGTCGATAGATATGGTCTTTACGAATCGAATGATATAACTCTCATTGCTGTAGCTTGAAAACTGTAGGAGGAGATAGGTTTTCCGTGACAATAAGTTGCATAAGTTCTGTCTCTTATACACATCTAGATGTGTATAAGAGACAGTCTCCCACCCGCTTCCCTTTAAAGAGACGTCATTAACGTAAATATTGACGTACAGCGATGGCAGTGGTACCATTGGAAAGAGCAGAATTCCAGCTTTCAGATGAGCACAAAAACCGAAAAACGCCAAAATTGAAGATGTTGGGTAGCAGGTCCCCTTAAGAGTTAAATTTGTGGCCGACGGCTGCGCACCTCCTGTTGGTTATCTTCCCAGTTTATTTATATGTCCGGCAGTTAGGCATAAAATAATTGAGCGAATAACTATCGGATACAAAAATGTTAGGTTTTTGTCAACTGTCAGATAAACATACCCAATTTCATCTGGTTATCGCCCAACTTAGGAGGGTCTCCTGCCGAAGACCACCACTGCCCTGGATGTAATGGACCATCATGATTCCTGCCTTCCGGAACGTAGCCTTCAACACTTAAAGCCGTATCTAGGCCGTGCGTCGAACCAGCCCTCGGTCGAACGGCCACTCGTCGAAGGACGATAAATTTTGGATCAGAATTATGCTATCTGAAACCTAACCTCAGACGCGGTGAACGTGAAATTACGTAATTTAACGATGCCCGGAAGTCATATTCGATCCGCGGCCTGGTGGTGCACGGCAGGTGATGGTCAAGGCCGGAAGAGGACAAAGCCGAGTGGTGCACGGCTGACTGGTCGATGTCCGGAGAGATCCAAAGCGTTCGATTCAGGGCTTATTGGTGCACTAAATTGGTGGTGCACGGCTGCGCTCCCACTTAGGAAAGTTTTTATATAACTGTTAGTGAACGAGGAAATGCGAATAACAAAACCTGTCGTGCTGGCGGTTCTGCATTTTCAAATACTAACCTAGGCGTATTTCTGCTATTGCTTTAATTGATATTAGGATTAAATTCCAGTAACTTGAGAAGAATAGCATCGTATACTAGCATGTTTTCCATCGAATGTAATGTTCTCAAAAATAAATTCATGTATTAACAAATTCGTGTATTAACATCCACATGAAGTATATGTTACGTCCACCACGCAGTTTCAGCCAATCAAAAATTATTATAATACACGTTTATGTTCAACAACAGTTAGAACAAGTAATGTATCGCTTTCCTCTTTTCGGATTCTTGTAGCTTAATATAATTTTGGACATTTCGAATTGTACTCGACGCCTAAATCGATTTAACTCAAACCTATTCAAGATAACGAGCACCTTCATGTTGTAGGAGTAAGATTTGATGAGAAGATGACCGTTTTTTTCGTGACTTCATTTATAAAATCTGCGGAATATATAAAAATGTCTTCAGGTTTCCGTAGCCTGCTGATATACAACCATTGTCTGCGCTTTCATGTCCATATTTCCAATTGTGCAAAATGAGTATCTAATCCTGGAAGCTTGAACATAATGATGAAACGGAGATTTATGTATGTTGTTTGATTAAAATGAGCATTGCTATTTTTAAATACAATTTTCAAAGCTGATTGGTTGACATGAGCAACTGTTGCTATTGAGCATCATAAACTAGCGAGAATGAATAACTTGTTTGCATACCGTGGCAAGCTGCTTCGTGCAGTAGTATTCGCTTGCCAGCTACAATTCGATTAGAATTAGCCTAGTGTAGTTATAGATTTCAAGTCATTCCTCTAAAAACTTGGGGGCCTGCTGCCTATCTGGGTGGATAGCTAGAGGTCAGCATAGCTCAAGTCCACAGTGGAATTCATATACCTTCCCGAGCGTAACTCAGCCGGGCATCTTCATGGCTTTTAACACAAAGCGCCCACCACAACAGCGCCGTTCAGTCACAGGCCGGAGCGCATACAGGCCGGAACACAACTGGCCGGAGCGCAACAGGCCCTACTGCAAAAGCTATTCCTAACGTAACCTAACCTAATCGAACCTAACCTGCGCCGCCTGTTGCGGTAGGGCCTGTTGCGCTCCGGCACTGTGAAGCAGTGGCAGTGTTGTGCAAAGCGGATTTACTGTTAGCCGGAGTTACCCACAGTTCATTGATCTGAGGCTATGTGTAGATATTGCATGCTGATGGGTTGGCATTGGGCCCAGGGCCTGTTTACGAGTCAATTTTGTTACCCACGGCTGCGCTCCCCTGCCTATCTAATCTGTAGAATGTTTAATGTGTGTTAATTCGTTCCTTCTCCCCTGGCTTCATTTTCAATGTGTTATGAAATGAAGGCCACCACAGAAAGCTACTAATCATACCACGATTCCGAACTACTTGTACTCTTTAACTTCATTCGCAGTCGCACAATTCTCAACCACCTGGAATGGAGGTAACCGATACGGGAGAATTTTGGTTGTGTACGCATAACTCCCATCAATTCCCAGATAATTTTATGTTGATATTATATTTTATTTAAGGTAGACATTTTTTGACCGTTTTGTGCAGTAAGTCAAGTATTTGAATCGAGATATATATGATTATCTCTGCATGTATTAGAGTGTATAAAGATATTTGTGACTTTCTATATAAATTCTAGATTCTACGAACTGACGATGGAGCTGGACTCCGAAACGTTTTCTATAAAGATATGAATTTTTGTGGAATATTCTTTGCTCTTAAATTTTTAGTAAACTTGCTATTGAAACAAACATGTGACATCAATTCTTTGATATTGCAGTTTTGGAACTTTGATCCACAGTAACAGGCTGCTGTCAAGTGAGAGATACGGCAATGCCAGGAACATGCCTGGGTTCTCTTCGATCGGCTACACAATGCGATGCTTATTGTTTACTATTGTGGGTCGCTGTCACATATACGATAGATTCAATGCACGTCTCGAATGTGTGAGGACGATGTATGGTTGCTGAGAAACTTCTTACTGCAAGCAATCAATTCAAAAAAATAATAAGGTAAAAAAAAATAATAAAATTAATTACATCATCATTATCGAGCATATGTCGTTCAATTTTCTCCAACAAACTTAGCTCGGCTAAATAATAAACTTGTTTTTAATTCATTTTAGCCGTGTTTAAAGTGAAAATTGTATCGTGCGTGCGTTTCATTTAATTACTTCGAGATCATCAGGAGCTCATCCGCATTCCCGGTTGACCCTAAGTTGGTGCTACCAAATTCTTGAGTGGAAGGAACCTGGCTTAGCCGAACGCCTCAGTATCAGAACCTTAACCTATTGGCAACACGCGGGGTTAAAACAATACATTTTGGTATACCTGTATTATATATCCCTAATATATGTGACTTGAATATTTTCACATCCTGAGAGGCTCGTCTTCGAATATAACTTAAATGATAACTTTAAAATCATACATTAACATTTTTCTTACAGCAAATAAATGGAGTTTCTATCATTTAATTTTCCTCATAATTGTTTGGGTCAACAAAGACATTTTGTTAAGGGATATCATGATTATTGAGTTTCTCTAAGCAATCTTATTATTTCTGAAATTTTAACCCCTGAACTAAATTTCAGTCATTCCACCTTTGCATGCTAATTACAGGCATTGAGGTAAGCATAAAATGGAATTTCATGAGATGTTAATTTACTGAATATGTTACCATTTCAATAATAAAAATGTAAGGAGATTTTTCCTCAAGCGAGTGCGCTGAATGATGGTAAGATTTGGTTTAACAAATTAATTGAAGGAATAGCGGTCGGTTGTTAGCAGATGTATTTGAACGAAGTTTTTCAATTCAACATCCACGAAAAAAGTTTATATCGTGAATTCTGGTCACCGTTCACCCTCAGATGATGATTGATTGGCATGTATCGATTGATATATAAATGATGGGTGTATAAGGCAATGCATTAAAATTAATGAGCAATGGCAATTGGCAACAAATGGTACGAGGTGCTTCAAGCCATTAAGAGGACATGACGTATAAAACTGAAAATAATAACTAAGAGAAGAAAGCTCTTCGGATTTCCTGCTGAGAGTTTGTGATCAGAGAATGTAATTATAAATAAATAATCTATGATTAACGAATGTCAAATTCAATCAGTCATCCCAACCGAAATGTTCAAAGCTGCCATATCCTCCAAAGCCATGCTCAATACTGTGTCCTCCGAAACCGTGCCTGTATGGCCCGTAACCGTAGCCGTGTCCTCTGAAGTCTAAGCCGTAGCCTCTGAAGCCATGTCCTCCATAGCCAAAGCCATGGTGCGGTAGAGGGGAGGCCGAAGCGGCACAAAGAAGAGATGCGACGGCTGCAACCTGAGAAAGAAACGAAATAGGATATGACACTTAAAATGTCGCAGGCTCAGAAAGAGGGATGGAGGCATTCTCAAACGGAGGTACAGGTACCTCAATAGGGTGCGTTCCCGTGAGCTTTTCAGCGTAAATTACAGAAAATCGAAAAAAACTAGGTATCAGAAAATGTTTATGCGATCTCGTGATAACTGCAGGTCTTGTACACTGACAGCATAACATTCAAATGTGCATTTGTACACCGGAATGTACATGAATATTCACAAGAAACTTCGGTCATAATTATGTAACTCTGTAGTGTGTCGGTTATCATGCAAATTCCTCCAGCATTATGGACTGAACGCGCATGCTGACTGTAAAGAATGAGTGTTTTCGGCGTCAGCCGACTGTAGGAAGTGAACGTTTTTCTGGCGTCAGCTGACTGTTAAAAATGAGCGTTTGTTAGCGTAGCTGACTTTAGGAAGTGAGCGTTTGTTGGCGTCAGCTGGCTGTAAGAAGTGAGCGTTTGTTGGCGTCAGCTGACAGTAGGAAGTCAACGTGACTGACATATTCAAGAATAATTGTTCGATTTCGCATTTTAAACGCGAGCCGCTAGATGAGCCAGACAACCATGATTTAGTATCATTATAGAGAAAATTTCACTAGCGCTGTAAATCTTTCTAAGCCTTGTAAATATATCTAGAGATCTGTCCATCAAAACCATTCAGATTGTTGCACTCGAACGTATTAGGATATTAATGACTGACCTTAATAGCGAAATTCCATAGCCCATCAGCAATTCAAGTTCACTCCTACAACTTATTTTCAATGTAATTTTGTTGTTGTTGTTGTTGTTTCCAGTTTGTAGGTGAGGAATTAGTCGCGCAGTGACCTCTTGTTACACCTGGACTCAGCAGGTTTAATTTTGTTTCAATGACATCTGGAGGCTTCATCAACAATGTAAATTTGAAAATATTTTATACTTTAAAAAAATTGAATGAAAAGTATTTAAAATATTAGGAAAATTTATATGATTTTTTTCCTAAGCAGTTTAGAATGATATTGAGGAATTTTTTTGAGTAATTAATTTCTTTTAGAAAAGCAAGTTTGTGATCATCAGAATGGTGTCGTGTAAATAGAAGTGTTGTGTGATACATGTCAAAAAATTGTTTATTTCGAGCAAAAAAAGGTGGACCGATTGGCTGAGAAGAGTACGCCTCAGTTGCAATGTAAAATATGCTTTCATAGACGTATTGAAGATTTTCCGATACTAGAATAATTAAAACACTAATTACTTCAAGGAATTAATAATATCCATTCAAATTTTTTCTTCTTAAATATATAAAACTAACTATAGTTTAAATTGTGCTCAGCCCATTTCTTTAGAACATCAATTTTCATCAGCTGATCATTTTTAAACGCAATTTTGTACGATGGTGCGTTTATGCGATAAATAGTCTAAATGAGTCTGGTCTCTGTCATGTGTACATGTCGTACAGATGAAGCACTATTGAGGATTGGATGAATTTAGTGGTTCAGGAGACGGTTTTGTAAGTGGTTAAGTGTGAGAAGTTAAGTGTGAAGCAAGAAATTTAGTATGATTATTAATACTGTACACAAACGCGTATACCATACAAAAAATATTTATGAGAAGATTTTTAAGTAGAGTACGCGCTAATTTCAATCCCTCGTTTGATTACGAGGGTGGGGTTGCCCAATAGTGATAAACCGTGCAACCAATTACTTAAATCTTTCGGTGGTTTACTCTGTAATAATACAAATAAACACAAAATCTATATAACTGAAACGTTGTGAATAATTTCAAGATAATTCTGAAGGAGCTTCGTCATCCAAACATCACATAAGTACAAATATTAATGCGTAATTTTAAAAAATAGATTAGAATTCAAAAATCATTGGAGAAATTGTCATTGACGTGAAGAAATCATTAATTTGAATTCGGAAATTTTACGTAAAAACGTAATCCGCCAAGTCATCCTCGCACATACATAGCGATTATGCACTTAATTTAGTTCTATTTGGGTAATTTGCGCACCAATTAAAATTTTATGAATGAGAGATTTAAACCGAGGTTGTTATGTAGTAAAAATTTCAGCTAATAATTTAGGCTTTTAAAATGCATGTTTGTCACGTAGATCAAAAAAAATTTAATCTTACCAGAGCAATAAGCTTCATGTTGTTACTGCGGTTGGGGTCCGTACACTGAGGAAAGGCGGTTGTGGTGGCCGCTTTTATACTGGAGGCGACTCAGGCTAAAGAATAGGCCTGATTTGGCCTGTCGCTGATTCGTGTACTTTTCACATGGACTGGTTAGTAGATCTAAAGTCCGGCCCTTTTACCATATCTTCTAAAAACTGACGTTGGTTTGAAATAGCTACTGGACTTTTACCAGGTTCGTAAAGTATTAGGTATTTCAAGACAGAATATATACAGCTGGATAGCATTGTCTAGTCTGCTATATTGAACGCGTTCATAGTCGGAGCGTCAACGATGTCATCATGGTGGCTGTTCAACATGTCGGTGACTCAAAGCGAAAAAAATGTTGTCGCGTCCATGAGTTGCAACGCAATTTTTATAGTTTATAACCGCGGCCTCTGGTGTTGGTTCTTGTTTTAAGTTCTAGTAATCCTTCTGGGACCTTGTATAAGCCATGAGTTTTCTGGTATACTTCAGTGAGCTTGCCACGTAGACGCCGATAATAAAGACATGGAAGCTACATAATCGCTAATCTTTCTTCATAAGACTTGCCCTTCAATCCTTAAATTATCCTTGTTGCACATCTTTGAACTCTCTCTACAAAATTTTTGTCCTTTTCAAGTTTTGGTGACCACACGGACTTCCCAAACTCCAGGTTCGGACGCACGACAGCGACAAACAACAGCTTCATTGATTCCGCATCTAGGAACTCTTAAGAGCGTCTGATCAGTCCAAGAAGTTTATTGGATTTATAAGCTTGCATTTCAAAATGCTTAGGTATTTTCGACTATTTTTTGGCATAAACTCGCACATATTTTTCCACTGTCGACTCTTCAATCATTACTCTCTGGAAGCAACTGGTGTCTTCTCGTACTGTAACCTTGCAGTTCATTGTTCTTGTTATTGCTCGCGAACCACCCGTGCACCACAAATGCATCACAGCATTAGCAATCGGAGCGAGTACACCAAATACCAGTTGCAACTAACAATTTTAATTATCAGACTCCTAGCTTCGCGTGAAAGGTTATTGGGTCCTTCCGTGGCCACTAGGTCCTACACAAGAAGTTAATAGCGAAGTAAATAGTATAGCGGTTTGTTTTTAACCCATTCACGGGTAAGCATGAAAATATTCTGAAATTCAAGTCTCTGAATCCAATATATGAAAGTATGAACAATAATATGATATATTTACTTGTGCGTATTTTCTTAAATTAAATTTCAAATTTTTAAAAGTAATTGCATAACTTTAATTTAATTCAATTTAATTTAGTGAAATAAATAATTTGAAAATATATTGCTTGTTTCGTCTTTTTAGCGCATTTTCTCATTTATGGAAAAAAGGCGCCATCGTGCTAGCCATGTCCGTCCGTCCGTCTGTCCGTCGGTCTGTCTATCCGTCCGTGACTTCACGTTTTCGGCGACGACAAAATGCGCTCGCTGTCACTCACTGCAATGAGTACTGAGTTATATTTTTTTCAAAAAGCTAGGAGAGCGTCAATTTCATTGTTTTGGTCGTAACTGTCGTTTAAACTTTAAATATTCGTATATCAATTATTGGGCATAGTAGGGGGTAATGCTATACACGGAACAATGGTCAGATAATTGATAATTGGCAGAGGCATTATAACGTAGCCTCCATCACAAACTGAGGGGCATAGATTGTCTTTTTTGGGAGGAGATTAGAACTTAGAAGTGACCATAAGTGCTCACTTACCAGCCAAAGGGTTAAAACTTGTGCTGTCACCAATACTGTCCTCGTGTACATGCACTGGACCGCATTTATGTTGCCTGCCAATCGTTTATTCGAGAATATTCTAAGGTAGTACAGGACACCTTTACACGTAGCAGTCACACACTCCAGAGGTGGATAAAAGCCGTTGAATTATATTCCGGAAGTTTTTCACCACTACAGGCCTCACCAAGTCTGACGCATGTTTAGTGTCTAGAATGGTGTCTGAATTAATGTATTTTTGCATTTTACTACCGCATCTGGGTTTATTCAAATGTACTTGTTGATAAAGAATAGATATTTGAATGAATAAATATGAATACATTTCAACGCAAGAATAAAATTAATAGGAGATCTAACAAATGGAATATTTGTAATAGTTTATATTGAAGCTTATATACGAACGTGAAAACCTATCATTTTCACATATTAATTTGGATATATCTCATTGTTATTAGCCTGGAACTGCATCTACCTATTCTTGTGTGTTTTCTCCAATATACAATAAAATATTCACGCATTATCAGTGGAATCAGAGGAAAGAGGAAGTTACGTCCATCACGTATATATATCCCATGAGAATTTTCTATATTAGACGCCGATTTTTACTAAATATGTAACAGTCAGGTATTTATTTACAAGGCTTTGGGTTCGGAAGCGTGTCATCATGGCAACATTTGAGTTTCCGATGACCGCTCCTGGGAAATACAAACCACAGTACCTTAAATTATACCTGCCCAGAGGCCTGCGTCAGCTTGTGCGCAGCTCGCCGCTCCTACGAGTATTCAAGATTCCTCATCTTTGTATTTCGACATTACATTTTGGTTGTTGTGGTGAGAGAACGTTTTGATGATGCGCATAGAGATCGTTAAAAGTCAGTTTATAGTGTTATCAATTCAGTTATAAATAATTTTAGTGTTTATGTTCAGATTTACACTGATTTCGTCATTTGTTGATGTACCGTGTCGAAATATTTGTGTCGTTCAGTCAATATTTTCATTTCTATCTAACCATGCATTGTATTTGATACATATTTCGTGAAATGTAGTCTATCGGATATTAGTAATTAGAAATATTTCGTCGTGGAATAACGACGCGTTCTTGCTTCCTAGCTTTGTGCATGCATGGGTGGGATTGATGTTTAGCCGCTCCATATATCTTTTACGCTTTCTCGAAGGATTTTTGATGATATTGACCGCTGTCCGGCCGGTACAAGTTCGGCACCAGCCCCGTTGACAGTGTTCAGAACTTGAACTCGCGCCCTGACTTGACCTACCGTTAAATGTTGCTGTACGGCCTAAAGTTAATTTGCACTTTATACATATTTGCTCTCCTGCGTTGCTAGGTCACGCGTTTTCGACCAATTTTGCTGATTATCTATACTTGTTTATTTACTGAATGATTACTTCTGGTTTTTCAATTCATCTTCGTTTCATTTGGCCGATAATTACGTCTCCTTGACCGGTGACGCTGAATTCATCTTGGCCGCTCAACGTTTAAAATTGTTAATTGTTGGTACTGACTAGAACCCAGACCCGGACCGGTCCGCCGGACCCGGACCGAGTGACTAAAACCCGGACCCGGACCGGTCCGCCGGACCCGGACCGAGTGACTAAAACCCGGACCCGGACCAATCCGGCGGACTAGGTTCAAAAAAATAAAAGGCTGCAAATCACCTGAAACGTCGAGAAAACTTTTAATTTTACATATAAAATTTTGATATTTACTTGAAAAATTTCGTCGCACCAACATATGTGGGTCACAGAAAAGTTCATTTTTCGATCGAACTAATCGATAGAGAATGTTCTGATACGTCCAGAAAACATAAAACTTTTGTATCGAATTTTTGAAAATTTACTTAGAAAAATTTCACTTCAGGTCCGGGGAGCCCCGGACCAAGTGACTAAAACCTGGACCCAGACCCATATATTCGGGTCACAGAAAAGTTCACTTCTCGATCGAACTAATCGACAGAGAATGTTCTAAAACGTCCAGAAAACATAAAACTTTTGTATCGAATTTTTTCCCGCAACATAACAGTTTGATGTGGATGTGTTTCGCTTTCTTAATTTTCGATTACAATGACTTTTACAACTACAACCTACATTGTCCATGAAATATCAAAATATTCTTCACACGTAGATTGAATAAACTCCACCATATTCGAGACAATGAGCCCCTTCTTGCTTGTAGAAATATCCTCTGCATGTCTTCGGTAGCCGACTGATATGCAACCATTATCTGGGTTTTCAGGTCCATATTTCTGATTAGTTTTCAATTCATCTTCAAGCAGAAGCTAGGACATAACGACAGAACAAGTTTTTGTATTTAGATTTTGACGAAGATGAGTATTTAATTCTATATAGCTGTGATTAAATCACTTATTGGTTGAATTGAAAAACTATAATGCTCATGATGCTCACTTACAACAAAAATGATTCCATGACCTAATAAGCTGCTTTCAGCTTTCAGGTCTTGCTATAAGCATAAAGCAAATGACCAAATATATGGCAACAACTATCCATATTCGATATTATTAATTAATATTAATAATATCGAATTATTAATATTAATTAATAATTCGATTATTAATCAATTATAATTTTATATTATAATTCGATTAGCCCAAAATTAGCTTAATGTAATCATATAACATTTCTACTCGTCGCTCTAAAAACTTGGAGGCCTGCTGCTTATCTAATCTGTAGGCTTATTTCTGTGTTTTTAGTTCCTTCCATTACTAGTTTGAACTAAGTGTTCTGAAGAAAGCCACCACATTAAGCAAGTAATCAAAAGACGATCTCAAACTACTTGTACTCTTCAACTTCATTTCCTCTCGCGCAATACTCAAATATTGTTCAGAATGATGGTAGCCAAAATGGAAAATTTTGATAACATGCATCACCATTGCGCCTTTGATCCAATCTTGCAATACTCTCCAATTGCGCCTTTGGCCCAATCGGGATGCGTTCGACTGAGCGATCTGGCAATAAAAACGTTCCTTTTTCTGCGTGTAACGCGATTGTCTTTGTTATACGTTTGGGGTTGCGGTCACTTATGCGCTAGAATCAAGGTATTCCTCGAACCTATGAAACTCTTTTTAACTGCCGGGGAAGATTGTTGCAAAGGCCACGCACCCTGCATGAGTTTCATGCACATGCCATACATGATGTTCTCGTAACCGCTATGCATGAGGACGCTCATGCATGTATAGTTGAACTCCTACCCCCAAGTGACATACCTCAGTCTTCTTGGACTAGTCATGTCAACGAAGGATGATAAGTTTCTACTTGTATTGAAGAATTGGTGTGCCTTTGTATGAGGGCTCCCAGGCACAACTTGATAATCATTAGTATGTAGCAAAAATTACCTTCGTGTTCATTTCATCCCCACTAACGCAAGGTAGTTTAGAACTCGATGAAAGAGGCATTTTTTTAGCCCCTACGCATAAAGCAAATACGTAAAACTCTGCGAAGTTGACTCGCTACCTTAACTATTTCTAATTCGCGAAAGTGTTTATGGTTACACGTGGATGAGGTACAGTCACGTACCATGCAAGTAATATACTGGCTCGTACCATGCATGTAATACTGGCACGTGTCGTGCATGAGGTGCACGCACGCACCAAGCGTGTGGTATACAATATTAAACGCTCCGTGCACTAGGTATATAATATACAACAATTAAGGTACCTTCTTCAAAGAGGAATTACCAAGTAGTCGCAGGGACGTTGTTAATATTCGAGTATGTGATTTCATAATATCTAAGAATATTTTCATACAAACATTTCACCGTGAAACATGCATGGGCTTGTCTCTGTTGGCCGCCAAACAAAACATCGAAAGTAGATTAGCGATCTGCATGTTCATGTTCTGCAGCTATAAATAAATGCAGTCTTTGTCGTTTCATTGTTCTCTGTTGACATATGAAATGGAAAACTTGAGTATCAAGTCAGTTCCATAGAGCAACAAAAGCTAAAGCTAAGCGAAGAAGCTTCAATGTTGTTAAGCTAAAAACTAAATTTTAAACACTCCAGCCGTACATTAGGAGCTCAGGGGTTGAATTAAACTCAAACAAAATTGAATTTCTTCATATTATTAATTTATTCGAGTGCGTTATCACTCCGATGGAATAAAGGAAATTCTTCCTCAGAAGTACTAGTGCGCTGAATGCTATTGAATTTGATTGAAATACTAACCGTCAATTATGTATAGGAAACAATAGAATGCAAGAATTGAATATTATTTTTGCAACTGCTCGTATAAAGATGTATTGGCAATGAAAATGTTCAGTCAAACGATCCCCAAAAAATTTTTTAGTGAATTTTACTCACCGTCTTTGCTTTAGAATGATCAGTGATCGTTATATGAAGTAACTTACTGAAAGTGAGGAGAAGTGGAGTAGAAGTGGTGCGAGAAATTTTGAGTCTTTAATGTCGCATAGAGCTGAAGATAAAAACTAAAAGAGACATGCTATCCGAGCCTCCTGGAGTGTTTACTATCAGTGCATGTATCATTAAATAAATCACAATTGGAGACAGTCAAATTCAATCAGTGATGCCAGCCATGATGTTCATGACTGCCATGTCCTCCAAAACCATGATGACCGTGACCTCCGAAACCGTGCCCATGTCCGTGGCCTCCGAAACCATGCCCATGTCCGTGGCCTCCGAAACCGTGCCCATGTCCATGGCCTCCGAAACCGTGGCCTCCGAAACCGTGCCCATGTCCATGGCCTCCGAAACCGTGCCCATGTCCGTGGCCTCCAAAACCGTGGCCTCCGAAACCATGCTCATGGCTGTGACCGTGTCCAAAACCGTGACCATGTCCTCCGAAGCCGTGCTCTTCAAAGCCGTGGCCGTGTCCTTCAAAGCCGTGGCCATGGTGCAATGTCGGAGAGGCCAAAGCGGCGCAAAGGAGAGATGCGACGGATAGAATCTGAGAAAGGGACATCAGAATAAAATAAAAACGACACTAGGAATATCGCAGCCTCAGACAGAAGGATTCACAGCAGGAGGAACATGGACCTTAAAGAGTGAGTTCGTGAGAGTTTTTTCGAGTAACTTTATAAAATCTACCACCTTTACGTGTGGGATGTTCATGCGATCAATTGGTCGGTCCTTGCTGATTGATCTTGTTAACTCGTTGATGTATATCAAACATTCCCCCATATTTCTTGCCAGAGATTTGTGCCTTTTTAAGATAATCTTATAGAGCCCTTGGCATAACCATGGCCTCCGTGGGCATGGCATCTAAATTCCAGTCCGGGACGCGCGGTTCTTTTGAGAGATAGAAGCATAGAACCTATTACTACTTAAAATTAAGTAAGAATTTTCAAAGCAAATGTTCGACCATTAGTTTAGAATCGTCCCATTTTATACCGAACGCGTATATTATTTTACCAGACGAAGTTGATGACTAAGGCATCGAGTGATAAGATTTTTTTGTCATGGGTGAATTTTTTTGTTTCCAGCAGAAAAATATTGGGTCCGACTGGCGAAGATGCAGCTAAGACGCGTGCACCCCAACTTTGCTCCCAAAAAGTATTGTTCAAAGATGTGCTGAAGAAACTCTGTTAATTGACCAAGTGGCTAAATTGCTTACACGAATGAAAAAGATCAATTCAAATATTGGCTAGCTATTGAACAGGGTGAAATGAACGATGTTTAAAATTGTGCTTCATGAATTCGATAATTGCGAAGTGATGGGTAGTCGTATACGGATGAATCACCACTGTACATGGTGATTGAATGAGGTTTGGGGTTAGGGGAATTTTTTTTAAGTACCACCGAGATTCGATATTTTTCTATGGAATCCACTCGTGGTATTAACTGACAACGAATGCCTAAGTAGCACACAACATAATCAACCGAGATTACAAATGATGTCGGAATCGACATAACGCTTATGTCCTACTTCAGCGAGTGCCAGCAACAGTCAGAAATTTACTTTTTCTGTGATGATTTGGAAATTGTTATACTAAGTGAAGTTCCTCCTTTTATTGATTAAATTAGCAATGATTTCCTTCCATTTTTCAATAGTTTCGTCTGAGATTACACAAAAATTGTTAATCGTAGTTTTAAATGGTTAATCGTTAGTTAGAAATGGTTAATCGTAGTTAGAATGGTTAATATAACAGTTAATGCTTAATAGATTTCATAGTTTGTTACTAATTATTCTTTCATAAAAAGTATTCAAAATAATTTTGAACAAACGTCGTCAGTCTCGCATCACATGAGGATCATAATCACAAATTCACACGTAAAATAGCTTATAACTGAGAGTCCGATTAAAAAAGAATTTTTTTGAGGGGGCGAAAATCATCAAAAATCTCCGTACTGCAAAAACGAATTTATCAACGCGACTGATTGCAACAAACCATCTCCTTCCATCAAGTCCGTAGCGTTTTTAGGCCCATTACAGAGGGCTTCATGCAGCCCCTAAAAATTACCTAAGGCGAACTAAATAATTATAGGCTAATTTCTTACTTTTTCTCCAAATGAAAATAAATTTTAAAAAATGCGGTATGAATAGTAGTTTAAATGAATAATCATACAACCAGTCATTAATAACTCGAATATGATCACGAATCAAAGGGACTTAACCCTCTGTGTCCTTAAAACTTGGTGACTCAGCCCCTGTCCTTGAAACCTATAGAGGCCGTTTATCATTGCGTATTGTTTACTTTTACAGAAACCGATTTTAATAAAAAAGAACGGCGAAAAATCCTGTATTCAGAGATAGATTTTTTTCGCTCTAGCAAAACGAATATATAGAAAGATGATTTTGAAAAACAGTGTTCAATCCGTATACATGTTTTGGAGATCATAAAAGAAGATGTAAAATTTTGTCCAAATATGTAATGTACATCAAATTGATTAATTTTCTTAAATTATAGTGAGTAACTAGACTATTCTAACTAATTTGAAATTGAAAGCATTCCCTAGGGGTGTGAATTTCATGTTTCTTGATTCGCTTAACTTGAACTATTTGCCTACCCGTATTAACACACGATTTCTATAATGAATGCCGGATAGACGAAAATCATTCAATATATAAATCGTTCATTTGAATTCATCAATTCTACAAAAAAATTATCCGTCAAGTCGGGACTGCTTGGTGATTGTGAACTTCATCATTATTTTTGGTATTCACGCGTGTCTATAAAATTTTTGGAACAATAAATTCAAGTCGATGCCGACAAAATAAAAATTCATCCCGTAATTTGGAATTTTTACATTACGAGTCAGATAAACCAGTAAATACTCTTACCAGAGCAATGAGCTTCATGTTGCTGTTGCGGTTGGGGTCAGTACACTGATAACAGACGGTTGCGGTGGCCGCCTTTATACTGCGAGCAACTCAGGCGTCCTCAGTCTACACCGAGACCGTCGGTTGTGGTGGCGTAACCGCCCGAGCATCGCAAGTGCGACCGACATTGAGCTCAGGCTACTGTTGCCCCCGATAATTTGATCATTTTTACTCTCGTAAAGAAATTCAATTCCGGCAGCGACGTCGGCATCGGAGCATAACATGAGCGCGTGTTGGCGCCGCCAAGCTATAAGTTAATTTCGTTCGTTAAGTTCGAGCATTTGGATACCACTGAAAATTTTAACATTGACCTCCAAAAAATTATACAAGGTCATGTTTCTCTTGTGTTGTTGCTGATAACTTCCTAAAGATATATGATGTTGATTAACGTAAATCAACAGACTCAACAATGAACCAGAGACTAACGCAAACGTCACAACAAGCTACTACAATAATCAAATGACCAGCGGTTATAAAGCAGATGAACGGATCCCCCAATCCATCGTACCCAACAACATCTTAAGCGTAACTAATAACAAAGTATAGAAAATAACGAATCTTGCAATGAAAAATAGCCTCTGCAAAAAAACGGGGGCTTTTCAAGAGATTTTATTGTAGTCTATTAGTTTCCCTGCAATAGAGAAGGCTGTAGACTTCTCCCTAATATGGACTACATCGGGATAACAACTATACGACTATAAGCCGACGTCTCACGTGCCACCTTCAGTCTAGTGGACCAAGGAACCACCTGATGGAGGCCCACAGCGTACGGTGCTGGAAAAATGCACCAGCGTCGTCATGCGAAGCCCCGACGTCAACCAACAAGCGATAGCTGAGGCTTCAAACTACTAGATTTGTCAGAACCTCGAGACTGTTTTCAGAGTAATTTTTGGTGCTTTAATTTTTGTTCATCTTCATATTTTCATGATTTGGCTATTATTTCTCGACAAACACTGATTTGTGAATATTATCCTATTTACATGACTTTGTTCTTATGTCGATCCACATTAAATCACTTGATGCGTCTTGTAACTTGATAACGAATGATTGATACTTTCGAAACGTCGTTAAATTTCGAAACGTCTTTAACGAAATAAAAGTGTCCATCGGTATACCCTGCTTTTCGATTTAACAGTGCAAATTAAAAATATTGTCAGATACATTGAAAAAATTAATAAGAAAATTGTCAATAAAACAAAATTTTCGGGTTTTGAGTCACGGAAACCTGCTCAAAGAAACCAATTCTGCCAACCTATACTATTATAGATATAGTACCCTATAGAAGGAATTGACATCCCTACAGATACGCTGGATAAACAATATTTCTTCGTCACACCAAAGACAGTAATTAAACGGTCAATATAAGTATAGCGTCTTTCGTCAGGAGTGTCGCGTCGCTAATAAACTGGTTGTCCGAGGGAATCAACTATTTCCATTATATATTATCTTATCTTAGTGTATCCTGGTGTGCTCATTTCCTCTTAGCACTTCAGTTGGATAATGGAAATGAACTCTGACAATCAGATTATTCCTTTATTGCTGTTGGTATAACTATATATGGATAAAGTGACAATAGTAGCGAGTACATGCTTGGACAAGCAGCACCTGACACTGTCTAAACGTCTGATATACTGTCTATACTGTCTTATTTTCCTGCCGAGCGTCTATATAAATGTCTCAATTAAAATATCTATTGAAAATCCATTGTCTTTTTAATTCTGTATTCTTTCGATAGACTTAGTTTCGTACATTTAGTTGGTAGTGCCGCCAGTAAACCTGACGAAATGCAATCAAGGCTTTTCAAAAGAAATGACGAACTGAAATTAGGAATGTGTATGCGATACATATTTGTTTCAATTTTTCAAATGCATCGAAAAAATTTCAATTGACTGCTCCAACGACTTGAAATTCGTGAATATATCTGTAACTTAAGTGACTCGCCATGAAAAGTTTATTCATGAAATTTTATCTATTTGAGGAAGTATCGAAATTTTACCACAAACGGTTAAAACTTATTACAAAAACTTGCGACACCTCAACTTTTAAAAAGTTCTCTCTTATATAAAAATAAAATATATTAAAAGAGGTCAACTCAGGCATACCCTTTTTTCAGCACGTTTAGCTGCGTTGATTTTTTTTTTATTTTTCATTGTTGAGTTCCGAATTTCCATTTTTGCACTTACGCAATTGCAACACAAACTCCTCCCATTTCGATGTTCTCGTAACGCTCGTCGTTGATCGCTATTAACTCTATTTTCTATCAATCATCGAGAATGAGATCATTCAAAAACATGCGTTGTTACCAAACAATATCGAATGCAAACATGCAACAATTAAGCAACGAAGAGGTATATATTGCCTTCCCCGCATATTGTGATGACTACGAACCCATTATGTTCGTTAAAAATGTTCCATATATATTACTCAATAGATTATGCCTAAATTCTAAATAAATTAAAATTCATGGTAGGATCAATCATCGATGTACAAATAGTATTAATTTTTCTGTAGAAATAAGCAAAAATGAGATACAATCGTTCAGCTCGGAATTAATTACTCTTCGTGCTCTATATTGTACTGCAAGGCTTGTTCACCATGTACAGGACAACGATGGGCTTCACTAAGCAATCAAACAAGCGTGAAACAATTGCTGCATAGCCTCACGTCCTCTGGTAATGAAAATTGTGTTCTTTGACGTCAGTTTCAGGTTCGCTTGCCCTGCTTTACGAGGCAACGAGACGGTTCACTGCCGGCGCCTGTAGCGCTGATCTCGCGTAACCAACGCCCGCTGCCGTCCTGCCAAACATTCCCAGAACAATGACATGCTTCAGACTTGGACTCGAGTCGCGGTTAGTGGCTGGTCCTACACGTCCTTGACACGGCACCTCGTTTAGTTTGGTTTTGCGGGTAAAATTCAAAGTCATTCATGCACAAAATTTGGGTGTCCTTAGTAACGAGCATGGGTACAATGCACATAATACAATACAGCTGATCTCAATGATTGATGTTTATTATGATATATAAAGAAGAAGAAATTAATCATGGGAATCATTTGCGCGTTCCGATTAATTAATTATTAATGCGCGTTCCCAATCATATGGAATTTTCCAAAATTTGTAGTTCAGTTTCATAAAATAAGTAAATATTTCTGTACTCACATCATATATGTCGAGTTTAATAACATATGAATCAAATTGAGGCGGCGAATGTGACAGAATTATTTCAATCAGCATCGAAAGCTCGCCTCATTTCTGATTAGTTTTTATAGTTATTTCATACTAACGTGCGGCAACGTAAAAAAACAACAAAGTACTAGTGCATCAACTATCATTGAAGAACAATTGTTATTAAGCCATATTCATTCATGTTAAAATTTAAACATTACGTTTGGATGTAAAACTCTAGTGAACTGTTACTACGCATGAATTTAAACCCCATACACTTCAAAAGAATTATAGCATTCACTTGTTTTTCTCGCAATATCAACTTTTTCCGAGCCAAAATATTGATGTAATGAGTAAATAGTGAGGAACATACCGCCGTATATTTCATGCCTAGATAGCTCAGTTGGGAGAGCGTTAGACTGAAGATCTAAAGGTCCCCGGTTCGATCCCGGGTCTGGGCAGGTAATTTTAAATATTAATATAAATCAAATGCAGTATCATGATTATGTACTGTGACCGCACATTACAAGAGATTCAAGTGATGCCTTTCCATATCTCCGCTCAAGTTGAATTCTCGCAAATAAATAAGCAGACAATATCACTTAAACAAAATAATATTTTAAATAACTCGACCTGTGAGTTGAAAAAAAGTCTTTTTAGACTATTGATGCTAAAAAGTCGATTACTCAAATTTATCGTTAATTGTACATTTCGCTATTATTTTAGTGATTTAAATTATAGCAACTTAGCCCGACGTTACCTTAGATCGTAAATTACAGTAGTTTTAAAATCCTGAATCCTGGAATCAGTTGATAATAATCTCAATAATAAACAATAATAATAATCGCAATAATAAACACAATAATACTTATAGTAATAAACACAATGAAAATCACAATAATAAACACAATAATAACCACAATAATAAACACAATAATAATCATAATAATAACTACATTAAAAACCACAATAACAATTACAATAATAATCACATTAATAAACACAGATCATATAAGTTCCATTTGGCTCTTGTTTTCAAAATATAGAAAAAAATTACGTCTTATAAATTAAATAAGAACTTGGAGAAAAATTCATTTGTTGTATTTGCTAACCATGTTGTATTTTCTGAATATGATATATATGTTGTATGTGTCGTATTTGCTAAACATGTTGTATTACATATGTAATACAATATTCTATAGATAATACATTGTTACAGAAAAAAATTTATCTGTCTATCAATGGCTTCTTATTCTCTTATTAATAAAACAATTGTAGCCCAGGTAAGAACCCTAACACGGTAAGTATCCTGGAATATAATATAATATATAATATAATATAATATAATATAATATAATATAATATAACATAACATAACATAACATAATATAATATAATATAATATAAGGATAACCAGCACCCGTGTTCGATAATTCCTGTAATTTTACAATTACGTTCATATGTATGAATTGAGGTATACTATAAAATGAAAAAAAAAACTATTGAAACTCGCATTTCAAATTTTGCATAGCTCTCTCGGTGTACTCTCGTTGCGAAATGTGGAAGACTAAATGAATGTGTTTAATCTTCAATTTACATTTAATTTAAGATCGAATTACAATTTATGGTGCAACCCTTTCCTCTCAGTTTCGCAAGGCCTCCGCTATTCTTACAAGAAGAATAAATTGTCAGCTCCCGGTACATCTCGACACGGTAAGTGTCGTTAGTAGACGTGCCCGCACTGCCCCTGTATTATATTATATTATGTTATATTATATTATATTATGTTATATTATATTATGTGTAAAACGCTTTTCGTTTTGTTGGGGTTTGGTTTAACGTAAGTCCGCGTTTTTTTGGATATCCACGGTTTCAACAA